TAATAGATTGGCCAAATACTTTTGTCATAATATATTCTCACTCGAGTTATCCATTAAAAAATGTACGCAATCGTATGATTTATATGGTGAGAATTATAGCGATGACATGACTGATATGGTTATAGCGATGACTGGTATATCACAAATGAATTCATTGACTGTTTTAAGTCTTGATATAAATAATATTGACGTTAAATATCTCGTCAACGCTTTGCCACAAATCGGTGACAATTGCCGTAAGCTTAAGAAACTGACCTTAAAAGGTCATGAACATATTGGACGGTATACACCATTACCCGATAGTATTATTACACGTACTATAATCGCTATAATACACAATAATTTTAAAAAATTAACGTATTTAAAAATTACCGGACTATCGGACGGATCGATACCATTGGATAACAACACGTTTCAGGAGTGCAGACGTTTGCGGGACGTTATTATTGATGCTCAATGTTGGGAATGTAATGGTTCATCATATCAATTTTATTCAACGTATTATACTATCTATCATAACATTATTGTTTATTCTCGTAATAATAACTTATTACAAATTTCACCAATCTCTCAAATAAGCCCTCCCTATCTAATTGAGCTGCTCCATTACCACCCGGACAAATGTGTCTAAAATTATTGTTTCTCAGTGATATTAATTTAATAAAAATGTAATATATTAATGAAAATAATTTAATATGAAAAGATTTGTAATTAAATATAATTGTCATATATTACTTAGATTTATTAAAATTTATTTAACTATTATCAATATTAAAAATATCTTATAATAAATTCAATATATTAATAAATGATGTTTAACATTTGATAATAATCAACATTTTATAACGCTTAAATTTAATCGTTGAAAAATATTTGATCATGAGAAGTTAGTTTGTAAGTTGCTGATTAGTAGAAATATGATAAATGGAAAACAGATTGCATAAAAAGTACAGTATCACCAAGTTATAAATAATCTGTGATCTGTGACAAATTATTTATTATCTGATAGTAGTTGTGTTTAACACTCAATGCCTTCACAACACTATTACTAATCACTAGTTTTCACATCACTTTTACAATACTTTTCGCACAATTTTGAATTAAAATGTAATTTAGAATTGCAATTAATATTATAACTCTTTAAATATAAATTGGGTTCATTAAAAGTAAGCGAAATTATTTTTAAATTTTGAGATTATATTTGAATTACAATTCAATTTTTATTTTATTCCGGTGTGAATGTGTGTCCACTCAATGGCAACGACTTATATTTAATACAGAAAATTGTATTATTTCTCGGGTTATTAGCCGTGATTTGTATGGATATCATAAATCATTTATTTCTATTGTGCAAAAGTGTACAAATGCTAAACGTATTTCAATACAATTAATAACTACAAAAATAATGGAAACAATTATTAATTATTACAAACATTTAAATGAAATTAAATTTAATTTTGACGATAAATTAAATTACCGAAACTTTTTTACACATTTTGGCCCACAATTGAAATCATTAAAAATCGTAACAAACGACAGCAATTGGTATGAAAACAATAATTTGGCTCAAAATATTCAATTGTGTAATGCATTGAAAAAATTATCTATTAATTTAAATAATGTTATTAATTCACCTAATTATTTATTGAACGATATTGGTGACAAAGTCAAATCTGTTGTTACCAATAAGCCTATACTATACATGACATATGACTCAACAAATAATTTTAGCTCATCAGAATATAACAACTTTAATTACTATTATATGCAAAAAATAGTATCACTTGATATAAATATCGATGCCGTTTACGAGTTTAACATGACGTCAGTATTGAATGGTATATCGAAAATGTTATCATTACTAAAACTAACAATACGTTACGATTTTCGTAAATTACATACATTTACCGTTGCTTTTGGTAAAATTGGTACCAATTGTGAAGCACTTAAAACACTTACACTAATTGATACGATAGTTAGTATTTCACGCCCTAATTGTTTCAATCATAATAAAAACAATTACATGACATCCGTTACCATCGATATAATCAACACATATTATACACACTTACGGTGCCTAAAAATTGTCGGACACCTTGATCAATTTTTATCGTATGATAATAATACATTAACCGCGTGCGCACATTTGCGCCACGTATTTATCGATGGTATTTATCAAAGGCAACGTACAAATTATTTTGGCCAACAATTATCTACTTATGAAACTATTCTTACAATTGTTACGTATCGATATTCACGCCAACACCAGTCGCTACAACTTGAATCTAGATTGGAATCCAAATTAAAACCTGTATTAAAATACATCAAATAATTTATGTTCAATTAATATTATGATTAGTATATAGTTTATAAGAATTGTATTTATATATTAAAATGAAATCATGAGTATTTGTGTAAAATTTAATTTAATAAAAATAACAATGATACGCATTCTATATAAACATAATAAAACTATTAATGAAATTTATATTAAATTAAAGTTTTAATTCTTTAATTATTTAGATTATTTCTTAATATTATTATTTATACACTTTAAGACAACATAATATTGGTAAATTACAAAAGTATTTTAATTACAGTAATTTATGTGCATTACAAATAATAGTATCCAAATGTCCGATGTATGTAGTGTGACCACCTCTATGTTTAAAAATAGAGAACATTTGACCAAATTTCCTTTAAAATAGAGAACACATATTTTACGTTAATTTCTCTTTTAAATTTAAAAATTGAGATTATTTAATACTAATGTTGTAATAAAATTTATTGTGTTAGGTGTATAAAAAATGGCAATTATTAATCAAGAAAGTGTCAATTCTTTTCAAAAGTTTATTACTGTATAGATAAATAATTGTTTAATAAAATTAGTAACATTCCTATCATTTATTTTAAATTTAAAATAGAGAACAGTTCTCTATTTTGTACAAATACAGGTCCAAATAGAGAACTGTTCTCTGAAATAGNAATAGAGAACAGTTCTCTATTTTGTACAAATACAGGTCCAAATAGAGAACTGTTCTCTGAAATAGAGCACAGGTGGTCACGCTAGATGTATGGCAAAGATTTTAATTAGTGCTGACAACTGGTAGATCAGGAGTGTTATTCGGTTTACTATTTATTCTAGCTAATAATATTTGATTGGTATTTATATTATTAATTGTAACATTTAGTTTAGAATTAAATATATTTTGTATTTTACAATAAAAATAATGTTTATATTTAATTAACAATTGTGTGGATATATCAGTGAACATAAGCACCGATACACCAAACCATAGGCCGAGTAGTGATCCCATGAATATTAAATACTCTTCGAATGACATTTTCATTGATATTTCGTACACCATATCGGGCTCTGACGGTATGTTTATCTGTAAGCGATAGTCATATCCGGGTTTATCATCTTTAACAAAATTATTTTCTTTATAATCAATGGTATAGTAATGTTGTGTACATTCTATACGATCACTGCATTCATGTTTGCAATTATTTTGAATGTCATCATAATTTTTAATGTCTTTAATCGTGGCCGTATGATTGCCATAATCATCATGGTAGATTAAATAATTAATCGGAAAGCTTGATGTTTGCTTAAAACTGACCCGAATTATACACTCATCGACGCAGTCGCTAAACATTTGGTTATTGGCAAAACATTTTTTATCATTTATTTTACGTTTATCCACGAAGGTGGTTTCGCGATATTTTATTATACATATATTGTGTTGATTCAGATTCAATCGAAGTCGCTTGGGTTGTAATTGTCTAGCTCTATCGGACATAGAATGTATTTTTATTAATAAATTATCATGGTCGAAAAGGGTTTTGTTATGAATATTAAACTGCACAAATTGACCACGCTGGGCACCCGCGTTATTCATTATGTAATTTTCTTCGGGTTCGGCCGACCATCGGGAAAATACGGTCCAACAAATCTCCATATATTCAAACTGATTCCACTTACGGTACATCAGGGATAAACGGTACGGTTGCTGCACATTATGACATGGCCTCATACGCCAGTAAACCCCGGTATTTTCTTCCGTATAATTACATTCAAATACTGATTCGTGTGATATTATTGATGCAAATTGTTTATCTAGCGATTGATCTAGGTATTTAGTGTAATTAAATTTATAATTATTATTGGGCATAATATACTCTCGGCTTATATTTGGTTTAATTAATCCGGGAATACGTCCGCAAACCGTAATCGCCGGCAATCGGTGTCGGGTTTCGAGCCGTATGTTTGCTGTCGTCTCGTATGAGAAATACAATAAACTAATATTTGTTGACTGATATAAAAATCCACACAATAGTAATGTTTTTGTTATAAATTGTTTAATGCTCATTTTAGGTAGCATTTTGTCATATAATTTATCCTTATTAAACTTTAATTTTATTTTGATCATAGTCGGCATATAAATACTAATCCATTTAGATTAATATTCTTATATATATTTATATATTCATAATTCAAGTGAAATATATTTTAATTATATTATTATTGATTAATGATTATTATTGTGAAAAACAAAATAATATTTTTTATTGATTATTATATAATTAAGTTATAATTATTTTGTTTTCGACATTAAAACAATTTTTGTGTAAAAATACAATGAAATGAATGAAATAATTGCACACAAATTGTTTGATCATTAATATCTGAATCAATATGAAGTAAAAATGTTTAATTAATGTAATATTGTATGTGTTATAACTTATAACTTATAAGTATTGTATAACGATTTATAAGCAGATTCACATTTGATATTATTAAGCATACAATTACTAAAGTAAAACTTATTATACAATAGTGGCTCGAGACCTAAATAGTGGTTATAAGTAAAAATAGTTAATTAAAAATTTTAATTTTATAAAATAAATCATGCTATTAATAAAAATAATTTATTGATTAATTAATGACTTATTATTAGTATATAATGAAATATTTAAATACTAATACCATTGACTTTATGATAAAGTATTTGTGTTTAACACTCAATGCCTTCACAACTCTATTACTGATCACTAGTATTCACATCACTTTTACCACACGGTTTGTTTAATTTAAATTGTATTTTAATATCAATTTAATATTTAATTCATATCTTGTTTTCTTGTAATTTTTTTGTAACTTGTAAATCAAATATAATTATATTATTTTAATTTATTAATAAAAACTAAATATAATTGTAATTTTTGTTTAGAAAAATGGTCTCAAAGTATTTGTTGGACTCAATGGATAGGTTTGGCGACGATTTGTGTGAAGTATTGTTAGTTATCTGTCATTTGAGGACCGATTCCGGTGTGAATGTGTGTCCACTCAATGGCAACGATTGGCATTCAATACACAAAATCATATATCAATCGGTTATGAAAACGCATTCCAGTCATTAGTTGAGGTATTTGAGGACCGATTCCGGTGTGAATGTGTGTCCACTCAATGGCAACGATTGGCATTCAATACGCAAAATCATTTGGAAATTTCTCAACAATTTTGCGACGACAACACAATTCTGGAGTCGTGTTTGAAAAAGTGTAGAAATATAACAAGTATTTCGTTGTTTACATTTGAACCCGAATTTGTGGACATAATTAACAATTATTGCAAACATTTAAACAAAATTTCGTTCATATATTATGATGGCAATAAAAATATCGACAACTATTTCACAAAATTTGGTCCGCAATTAAAATCAATTTTAGTCAAATTCTTTAATTCAAATGTTGGCTTTAATGAAATTATTCAATCATGTGTTAATTTACAAGAAATAACATATTATTCACCGTATGATCGTGAGAAGTATACTCATATATTTACTACAAAACGCAACACAAATTGTCTTGATCTATTTAACGCAATATTTGACCGGGATCAATATTCAGAGTTATTCAATGATAAACAATTGTTTATTAAATACTCTGACGTCGTTATTATTCAATGGAAACGTGGTGAATATGATAGATTGGCGAAATATTTTTACCATAATATATTCTCACTCGACTTAGTTATTAATGAATGCCCGGATTGTGATAAAGAGGCTAATATCCAGTCATTTTAGGACGTATTTACCGGTATATCACAAATGCATTCATTGACTGTTTTGAGTCTCAATATAAGTAGAAGTGATGTTAAATATCTCGTCAATGGTTTGCCACAAATCGGTGACAATTGCCGTAAGCTTAAGAAACTTACTCTATATAGTAATTATTATATTGGAGATTATATGCCCGAACCAAGTGTTATTCTTATTACACGTACTATAATCGCTATAATTTGCAATAATTTCAAAAGATTAAGATATTTGAAAATTACCGGATTATCGGACGAATCGATACGATTGGATGACAACACGTTTGATGAGTGCAGACGTTTGCGGGACGTTATTATTGATGTGCAATATTGGGAACAAATTGATTGCTCAACAAATTATACTCTCTATCATAAACTTATTGTTTATTCCCGTTATAATAAGTCATTACAAATTACATCGGTGTCCGAAGTAAGCTCTACCAAGCAGAGAAGCCATTGGGGCTGTTGGAACAATGTTATGTGAATAATTTAATTAAATAATATAGAAGTAATTACCAATTATTAGTTAAATTTATTTAAATTTGTTAAATTTACAATTAAAATTATATTGTTTTAAATTTCAATTGATTTAATTATTTATATAATGATAGAACTTTTTTAATATAAATTTAAATGACCTTTTACTTTACTTTTATATTTAATTCAAATTCGGATAATTGAATATTTTGTATAAACCAATTTATAAATGTTATATAAAAATGAAATTATAAATTTGGAACGAATATTATAAAACATTTAAAAATTTAATATTGTAACAAATCTATTATTAATAAAATCTATATATTCTAATTAAATAAAATTATATAATTAAAAAATAAAATATAATTGCAAATTTAGTTGTATTTCATAAACATTTATAAATTAAATATCATTTATACGAAATATGTAAATGTAAATTTATTTACATAATAGAGTATTGAATTAATATAATCTTAAAATTAAATACAGCTACTAAAATATTGTAATTACATATATAATATTTTATCTTAAATTGTTAAATTACACCAGGTAAACATAAGTATCAAATTAATGCAATTACATAGATTTATGCACAGATACTTTTAACACAACTATAGGAACACATACTTTAGAAACTATATTTTTAAATTTTAACTAACAATAATATCTTATTAAATAATGATGATAGCAATGTATTTGGTTATAACCATTGGTAAATTATTAATTGTGGGTAATTAATAAATTAATTTTATGTATATAATAGTCATAGCAATGCACCATGGTTGCGTGGGACGACTATATATACCGGATCCTTTTATAAAACATTATCCAAATGTGACTACAAGTGATTGTGGTATTTCTAGACACATACCGCAAATTGACCAAAATTGTTTCAAATGGAACGTCGGGGTACCCAAGCTATTCGCTGGCCGAGAGGCAGTGCCCGGTGATGTGCCCTGGTCAGTTTTTGTAAAAAGATTTAGCAAATCAAGCATATGGTGGTGGACATGGCAAGGGTATGTAAACTTTACTAATTATATTTTAAATTAATTACGATTATTATAATTGAAAGAGAGGCTTACAGAGTGAGTTAACTTGCATAAGTTTAATATTCTTAGTAACTTACTAATGGTAAATGATTCAATATTTATAATAATTATAGTACTAGTCACTGTAATTACAGGTATTTAGCCAATACTTGCCATGGACTTGGCATTGTCCATATGCTTAATGTTTGTTTATGTTTGCAAATTATAAAGTATACTTTGATATATACAAATAGTGCATAAAAAGGCATAATTTTGGTGGCTCTTTATAGTATTAACATTAACAATGTTAACCCTATGCCATAGATTAAGTATTACCAATGTTAGATTAGGATGGGTTAGATGGTAAGGGTAAGGTTAGTAAATATTAAAACTAATAGATAATAACTTTTTTGAATGATTTTTAGGCCAATTTTATCAAATTATAACTAACAATTTAAGTAACTATTATAGTGACTATTTAGGGTTTTATATTTAACAACAATGCAATGCTCTGATCATGAAAAATAATTTATATCATGTTAAATGATAACCAGCTCAATGTGGCAAGGTTTAGTATTAGTGGTGGGCATATGCTTTATCACAAAAGCAGTGCTAAACATATTAAAGTTAACTAACTTTATGAGCCTCTCATTCAATTATATAATTTGTATAAAAGGGCTCATTGCAGCGGGGTGGTTTTAAATGAGCATTGGATACTAACGGCCGCGAACTGTGTTATGTGAGTAATATATAATCATAAATAATCAATATAATAATTATTAATATTAAAAAATTTTATAAGAAAAGCGATAATTTAGCTGCCGTCCTAAATATGCATAATTGAGTTATTTAATAACACCATTTTAGTTTATAGAAGTTTAATTAAAAGCTTAATTAAAAACAATTATTTATTTTATTCGATAAATTAGCTGCCCGATTGTTATACTAAAAGCCATGAGTTTTACCCTGGTATTGTCGATATGAACAATCCGGGTGTGAATTATTGGCCGGAAGATATATTTATTCACAAAGGATATTCCGTCACGCCCTCGATGGCATACGATATAGCGTTGGTCAAAGTGCGCATGGCCATTCCATTTACGCAAGATCGTTTAGTAAACAGCATATGTTTGCCCGAAAATTTGCATTTCAATGCAAAATATGAGTTTGCATTTGCGACCGGCTATGGACTGGTGGGCGAACACCAAAGCGATCGACTCCGTGTGGGTTATGTGCGAATTGAACCACTTGATTTTAACAAACAACATACTGTAATTAAAGTAGAGCAATACCCGGATACTAACGGCACCCGTACCTGTCCCGTAAGTGCTACCAGTATTTGTAAAGTACATCAAATTATATTTATTATTTAGATTAATATTCAGCAATGAGCATAATCTAAAATAGTGTGATTTACAATATACTATTTTTTGAAAGCATTGACTAATGTTTTAATTTGTGCAATTTAATTGAAAATGCACCAGGGTGATTCCGGCAGTCCATTGTGGCAGGTGGAAGACGGCAGGGCTGTTCTAATTGGCATACTTTCATCTTCATCTGGTTCAATGCCTGGTATGTTATGCACACCTCACTATCTAGCGAACAGTTATTACGTGAGAGTATCATGGTTCATTGATTGGATTAATGAAACAATTGCTAATAATTAGTGGCAAGTAAATTGGTGATGGTTACATTATAAATTGTTATTGTTATCTATTACATATACAACCAATACTTTGTGATTTCTTTGTGTAGATTTCTAATATGTGTTCATACAAACATTTTCTACCAAGTAGCTTAAACTAAATATATTAATGATAGTTAAATTACAAAATTTTTTAACCCTAATATTATTGATATATTTTGTTATACTTTTTTTATCAAAGGTGAAAAATATAACAATTTAAATTATGCATTTTTACAATATTTTTAAACAAAATTAATTAGAATGATAACGATTATTATTGTTAATTACTGTAATTATAAATATATTATTGATGTAACTTAGTTCATTATTAATAATAAATTTGTTTGAAATTTAAAAATATATTATTTATTTTACAACATTTGATAATATTTTATTTGTTGTAAATATGTTTATAATAAATAGATGTATTTAGATTAACACATTCCAGATTGATATAGGGAATATTTTTAATATGACGTGGTTACTGAATCACCAAGGTGTTTTTTAAGTATTCATTATAAACATTACTACTCATGACTTAGAATAGTTAGACGTGAATATTGTTTAAACTTGGTTATTTACTAAAAATTACTCATGATAAATGTTACGCTATTTTTAGTTATAGTGTGCCCTTTAATATAAAAATAATTCAATATTAGTTTATACGTAAAACCCCAATCGTAAATTAATGTTACTATATATATGAATCATTGTTTATAATGGTATAGATAAGTATAAATAATAGCATAAAAGTGGCACTAAAGTGGCCCTACCGCGTTTTGATGATTATAAACGTTACGCTTAATATAGTCTAACGTATGAATAGTGTATAAATTACAACACAAGGGTATAATGTGAAAAATGCTTATAATGGAATTACTTAATTTAGATAAATGTATTTAATCTATATTCACATAAAATAATTGCATTTTAAATTATATTATGTAAATAATAGCAAACAATGTTTAGTCAGGCATGTAATGGACCAGATTAAGTTGCGTGGGAGGGCTTACTTCGGACATCAAAGTCATATGTAATGACCTGTTATTACGGGAATAAACAATTATTTTATGATAGAGAGCACTAAAACGCGCAGGGGCCGATCATGGGCCACTTTTGTATAGTGAGG